GAAATCTTACGTACTAAGATGCATGCAAGCATCTATAAATACTCAAACCCTAACAAATAAATCACGGATGGACAAGCCCAATCCGGATACAAAACAAGGCTAAGAGCCGAGCCCAAGACGCAACACCTTCTGGACCTAACAAATAAAATTAAAAATAATTTATGGTTTAATATTATTTATAATTGTTGTTATTGTTAATTAATTTTTTAAAATTTATTTGCTTAATGTTTTAATTTCTATCATTATAATTATTTAAAATATCAAACATTATTTTTTGATTTTGAAGGTAACAATATAATCATTTATATAGAGTTATATTTAACTATTGTTATTGTAAGTTATTCTAAGCTACTTATTTGAAAACCTTTAACAATTATAAAAATATCATTATGAAATATTTTAGTTAAATTGAGATTACAATTTAGTTTTTGCATTTATCACAATAATTTATCACTTTTAACTATTTACAAAATATTCTTTAGTTTTTTAAGTGAAACTGAAATGTATATTTAAGTTAACATTGTAATGTTATATTTATGTTCATAATTTAAGTATTTTGTCCAAACTGTTAAAAAGTTGTAGCTTTAAACTGATAATGGTTTACATTTAATATATTATTAAATGTACTAAATTAACTATAATATGTTAAAAGTTAAAGACATAACTTTATATGTAGAAGTAAATATATTATTTTAAAATTAAAATTTATTTATTTATAATTACACTTTAGGTTTGATATTTATTTAATAATATTAACCAACTTAGAATCATTATTAGAAAGACACTACATTTTATTACTTTTAACTATTTACAAAATATTATTTGGGTTGTTTAAATAAAACCAAAATTTATATTTAAGTTGACCATGTAATGTTATATATAAATTAATAATTTAGTATTTTATATAAATTGTTCCAAAATTGTATCTTTAAAATGATAATGGTTTACATCCAACAATATATTAAAACTAATAAATTAAGTATAATATGTTATAAATTAAAAAACATACCTTTATTAGTAAAAGTAAATATATTATTTTAATATTGAAATTTAGTTTATATATGATTACATTTTAGGTTTGATATTTAGTTAACCTAATTAACCAAATTATAATTATTATTAGAAAGAAATTGAAAAATTATAGGAGTTTCAAATTAATGTGGTGAAAGGAAAAATAGATGGGAGTTTCAAATGAATGTGGTGCAAGGAGAAATGTTTCATTTATAAGTATATAATGATAATGATGATTATATATGTTGTTATACTTCATGTATTAACATACATCATACTAATATATTTAATATTAAAAATGATATCGAAAATGAAAGTCAAATAGTTTTGAATTTAGACATTTTAATTTACATGGACAAATGATTTATATTTGAGATTGTATTTTCTTAAAAAGTTTGAATAATTATTGAAATTTATGATTCTTTAACTAAAGATATAGAGTAAGGCCCCGTTTGTTTACCTCTTAATTGAAAAATTAAGAGGTAACTTCTAAAACATTCAGATGTAGCTCGTTTGGTAACCTCTTAAAAAATACATCTGAATAAGATAAAAGGCTCTTAATTTTTCAGACTTATATCCTCGTCTGAATTTTTTTTTGACAAAACTGCCCTAGTTCACGTCTTTCTTTTCTTCTCTCTACCACGCCTCCACCTTTTTCTTTCTCATCGATGCACACTGCCAAATCCTCCATCGCCATCCGTTGAAGCTCCGTTCCTCCGTGCCATCTCCGTCGCAGGTGTCCTCTCCGTTCCTCCCTGCAATCGCCGCCGTCATCGGCTCTAGCTGTGCTCCACCCCTGCATCTCAGACGTCAAAGGATCGACTTCGGCATCCCTCAGGTCGCCGCACACCTCCTCCGTTGAGCATCCCCGTCATAAAGCACTTGGCACAGCCGCAACACACCTAATCTTCTTAAAATCGGTATTCTTCTTTATAATCTCATGTTTTCTTTTGATTTTCATGCTGAAACCAGTGAAATGGCCTTGAAATCAATTGTAAAACTTGTTGAAATGCTTGTAGTCGGCTCTAAAATTGTTGAATTTATGGTAATGTTGCTGAAATTATTTATTTGGTTTGAAATATGGTTTGATTATGATGAGATATTGTTGATTTTGGTTTGATTTTGATGAAATGTTGCTGATTTTTGATTGATTTTGATGAAATGTTGCTGATTTTGGTTTGATTTTGTTTGATTTATCAGCTATAGCTTCTTTCCCATGTTTATTTTATGTGTATATAAACCATTCGATGAAATTTAGGTGTGTATATAAACCATTCGATGAAATGCCTAAATGAAATTGTTTCAGCTTATGATTTATTTAAATTTCTCTGTCTTGAATCTTTTTGCAGAAAAGAAACCTTGGATGATAACAATTGTTTGTATGTAGATCTGTTAATATTCTATCTTAAAATGTTCAATGTGGAAAGAAACCTTGGATGATAACAATTGTTTGTATGTAGATCTGTTAATATTCTATCTTAAAATGTTCAATGTGGATGATAAAATCTAATGTATTCTTTGTTTTGTTGATATAGGTGATTGATAATGACCAAGATGCTATCAAGATGAGGGTGATAATGGATGCAATTTTCACTCTGATTTCTTTGATGTATTGTTGCAGTTTTTAAGTTCATTTGGATTTGTGCATTTGTATGTAGATATGTTAACATCAATTTATGTAATGTGATAATATTAGCATACAATTTAAAACAAAACAATTTTGATTGTTATAATTGGATAGATTTCTCAAATATTTAGGTTTGATTGTTAATTTTGATTTATGTTTAAGTTGGATTTTGTATGGTGTTTTTATAATTTTGCAAAAAATAACACAGAAGGGTAAAATGGTCATTTTTATAATGAAGCACAAAAATTCAGAGGTTCTAAACAAACAACATTTTTAAAATTCAGATCTTAAAAATTCAGATCCTCTTAGAAATTCAGATCTTAAAAATTCAGATCTTACCAAACAGCACCTAAGTAAAATCGTTAACATGTTTTATGAAGTGTTGCACCCAAACCACTCGATCCGTATTACATTTACAATTTTTTTTAAAAGCTATATATTCAACAATTAAAACGACACTATTTTTTTTCTTTCAAAAAAGTCACTCATAATTTTAAAAATTCATATTTAAATAACTAGTTTTTTAAAAAAATAAGGTTTTTAATTTTTTTTTCATAATACAACATAATTTCTGATCATGAAACACAATTTTTTAATAGTTATAGGTGAAAATGGTTCATTTTTTTGTTAAACCAAAATCAGATTGGAAGTTTTATTTTGTATTTTGAAAAATAACCAAACCATTTGTTTTTTATTTCGGTTTAAGTTTTTCGTTTTTTTCTAATATATTTTTTGGGTTTTGTTTTTTTATTTCATAGATTTTTTCATCAACAAATGTTGCTAGAATTTAACAAAAATAAATAATCTGTTAAAACATAATACAAGAGAAAGTTTGTTCACATATAATCATCGAATTTTTTTAGAGGGAAACAAATTTCGACTTTGTTCACATTTAACCACTAAATTTTTTTTCATTATCTATTTGTGACTGAAATATTAAAACTGTTCACATTTGCTTTGAGGTGATAGACATAAAACAAAAATATATTAAAAAGAAACAACAATATATAAGATTTTTTCCGTTATTGTTTACAATAAGATTTTAAGAAAAAATTTGAAAAAAACTTGTAAGAATGGTTGGAGTGGGCAACACCCACCCATGTTTTTAGAAGAGAAAAGAAGAAAATGAGTGTTATAGGAAGTTGTGGTGATAACAGGAGATTTATAACGCGCAAAAATAGGGAGGAGGGATGTGTTTGTGCCGTTACCACGACGTTCAGACTTGGCCATGTCAGAAAAACGGCTGAGCGTTGCCCACACCGTTTAATCTAAATAAAACTTTTAAGTACTTCCAACTTTAGCTTTTAGGAGAAAGCTTGAAAAAAAAAACAACATTCAATAGCAACGGCTTCTAACTTTTAGCTTAAACAACAAACTTCAAATCCAAAACCTACTTTAAAAAATGCTTAACAAAAGAAAAACTTTTAGAATTTTACAAATTAACTTAATTATCCTTTTGTAAAATTATGTTTATGCTTTATATTTTCCAAAGATGTCTTTTTATGCAATTATACATGTTTAAAAAGCTTTTAACTATTTTTTCCTTAAACTCATAAACAAATAAAAACTTCATCTTCTAGCTTTTAGCTTTCGACTACTAGCTACCAATTAGTTTTGACGACCACGTGTAATATGTAACAACTTTTCGTTAAACGTTGCTTGATAAGTAACTTGTGGATTAAGAGCTTCTTAATTTAAATAAAACTACAAATTCTTAGTGTTGGACAAAGTTTTTTTTTTTTTTCGGGATTTTCTTAAAAGTTAGAAGCTTCCAAAAGTTGTATATCAAAGACACCCAACATGCCCAATGTTTGTTTAAATGTTACTCTTTCCAACAAGATTGTACAAAATGAGCCGAGTCAAATTTAACTATTTATATTTTAGTTTTCGATTTTAGAGTTTTTGAAAACCTTTTTCTAATTTGATTTGGAGTAAACAACGATTTTTTTTTCTTTTTAAATTTTAAAACAATTCCATTTTATATTTTTCAAAACAAAAGACCCAAATTTTATTCTATCCAATCAAAAATGTTTTTATACTAGGAACTAAACATATATAAAATTTATGTTAGGTGTTGTTTGACAAACTATCTAAAAACTAACTAATAATTGATAAAAAAAAAATAATGTTTTATAAAAATAATTGAAAAGATAGTTGAAATATATAAAAGTATATAAAAAACATGTAAAATATTGACCTTTTTTATAACTAATAAAATTAAGTTTAGCATATTAAAAAAATAATTCAATAAGGTCATTTATACATTAATCTGAATAACTTTTTTTTTTAAATATAACTTGTAAATTATTTTTTATAGTATATATTATGATTTTTTTTAGGAATATTAGCAACTTATTAAGGACTTGAGGGCTTAGCTTGAGTTCATACAAAACTCCAGGGTTATCTACACAAATTTAACCCCCTCCCCCAACGCTCCCCAACCTTCCTTACCGGCAGCTTCTACCAGCTGGGTGCTCTCTGACATACTTTCCGCTAGCCACTACTCTTTTTGCTCCGATCTCTTCATCAAACAAATTTGGAGATTTCTTCGTGTTTTCAGCTTCTCTATCGCTTCATTTTGTATGAAACTTCCATATATCCGGCGCGACAGTTATCACTCTTCTGGTGTCGGTGATGCTTTAATCCGGCGGTGTGGTTGTCCCTGAAAGTCTAGTAAGTATGATTTTCACCGATCTTTCTAACTTACACTCAAAAAGCTTTCGTTTGATGTAATTGATGACTGTATCTGACTTCGCTAGCTTCCTTTTTTATTAGGTCAGAATTCAGATTTATTTGAGCTATCGTATTTACATTTCTGTTGGCGATTTCATTTGTTTGTAAGGTTAACGCTCTCATAGGCATAGCTATTAATAAATTTGGGGATAGTAGATATGATAATCAAGTGAAATTGAAGAATTAGGTTTGGTTTTGAAAACTGAAATCAGTGTTATCATGTAGGATTTTGTGGTTGTAATTTTACAGTTATATATGAATCTAGATGTTGATCTCACTTGATGTGGATAGAATATAATAAAAACGTAGTCAATGAATGAGGATGAAATTAAACAATAATGAGGAAAGAGGATGCTAATTTTGACAATATGTAATTGATTATTTATTAATATCAACCCAAGAAGATATTAATGATGATAATTTTGTGCATAGATTCTGCAGTTTCCCATTTGAAGGTTGAAAGATTTGGATTCAAGATCATCATCAATTCCAATTCCAATTCCAATGAACAAATACGGATTCGAGGGTATAAGTACAACCCGTCCAACTCACCCAATTCCCACCTCAAAATCCTTCAAAAACGGAATCAGAAAAGGATCAGAAAGCCTGAAATCCATAGGTAGATCACTAGGGTTTGGCGTTTCACGTGCTGTGTTCCCCGAAGACCTCAAAGCCTCTGAAAACAAAATCCTAGACCCTCAAGATACATTCCTACTCACATGGAACAAATACTTTGTTGCCTCATGTATTCTCGCAGTTTCCATAGACCCACTTTTCTTCTATCTTCCGGTTTTCGATGAATCAAAAACATGCCTTGGGATTGATAACAACTTGGCTATTATCGCTACAACTTTGAGAACTGTTGTGGATGCGTTTTATATTATTCATATGGCCCTTCAATTCCGCACTGCTTACATTGCCCCTTCATCTAGGGTTTTTGGACGCGGTGAACTTGTGATTGATCCCGGCCAAATTGCTAAGAGATATATGAGGTGGTATTTTATAATCGATTTCCTTGCGGTTGTTCCCTTGCCTCAGGTTAGATAATTAATGTGTGTTTGTGGTTTTTCAAGGACTCTGATAATTACTTAGATTTTCCAATTTTGTAGATTGTTGTGTGGAGATATCTACATACATCAAGAGGTTCGGACTTATTAACTACAAAACAAGCTTTGCTTATTATCATACTCCTTCAGTACATTCCAAGATTTGCAAGAATCGTCCCTTTAACATCAGAACTCAAAAGAACCGCGGGTGTGGTTGCTGAAACCGCATGGGCCGGTGCTGCTTACTACTTATTGCTCTACATGCTCGCCAGTCATGTTAGTCAAATGCAAAAAATAGCAACTTACTTTCGTTATAGCAATATAGCATTCTATTTTCATATTCTATACTTTAAAAATTCGGTAAATTACACGGATGGTCCATGTGGTTTAGGGTAATCTGCATGTTTGGTCCCTGGTAACTTTTTTTAACTCTAACTGTCCATATTTTATATTTTTGTTGCACGCTTGGTCCTGGTAGATCAGTGTTTTTAGAACGGACAGGGACCAAGCATGCAACAAAAATATTAAGTAGGGACGGTCCGAGTTTAAAAAAAAGTTGTTAGGGACCAAACACACAGATTACCCTAAATCACAGGGACCATCCGTGTAATAATAAAAGTACAATGTCGTAATTGACTAATTGGAAGTTTTGTGTTTTCAGATAGTTGGGGCGTTTTGGTATTTATTGTCTGTAGAACGAAAGGATACGTGTTGGCAAAGAGCTTGTGAAAGGAAGCATTTTAATAAGAATTTTTTGTACTGTGGGAATGAACGCATGGCGGGTTATGACAGGTGGCACGATGTTAGTGGCCAGATTTTGACAGATGCTTGCTCTACTGAAGGTGATAATCCGCCGTTTGATTTTGGGATTTTTGAACAGGCGTTGTCGTCAGGGATTGTTTCTTCCAAAAAGTTTGTTTCAAAGTACTGTTATTGCCTCTGGTGGGGCCTACAGAATTTGAGGTATATAACTATATTCTATATTTATTTATTTTTTGGAATTGTTATTTAAATAAATGAAAGTATGATGCTATTTTTTACATTTAAAGAATGAGAGTTTTGTTTTTGTTATTCTATGGCAGCACACTTGGTCAGGGGCTTGAAACCAGCACTTATCCTGGAGAGTCTATATTCTCCATTGCATTAGCAATATTTGGGCTCATTCTCTTTGCTCTTTTGATAGGGAATATGCAGGTTTAATACATATATGAGAATCTTAGTTTGTGATTCATCATTGATTAACAGATTAAGAGTTGTTTACTTGTTTTATACTATATAATAACAGACGTATCTTCAATCTCTTACAATCCGACTTGAAGAAATGAGAGTGAAGAGACGTGACTCAGAACAATGGATGCATCATCGATTACTTCCACAAGATCTCAGAGAACGTGTGAGACGCTATGATCAATACAAATGGTTAGAAACGCGAGGAGTTGATGAAGAAAATTTGGTTCAGAATCTACCCAAGGATCTCAGAAGAGACATAAAACGTCATCTTTGTCTAGGTTTAGTCAAGCGGGTAAGAACATTTTAGATCCATGATCAAAAAGTGAAATTTTCGTTAACGATTTAATTCCTATCGAAATTTGCAGGTTCCGTTGTTTGAGAACATGGATGAGACGTTACTAGATGCGATTTGTGAACGATTGAAACCGTGTTTATACACGAACAATACTTACATAGTTCGAGAAGGAGATCCGGTGGATGAAATGCTCTTCATAATACGTGGTCGTCTCGAGAGCGCCACCACAGACGGCGGAAGAAGCGGTTTCTTCAACAGCGGGTTTCTAAAAGAAGGAGATTTCTGCGGGGAGGAGCTTCTAACATGGGCGTTGGACCCTAAATCCGGAGCTAACCTTCCGTCTTCCACTAGAACAGTCAAAGCGTTGAGAGAAGTCGAAGCGTTTGCCCTACCGGCCGACGAATTGAAATTTGTTGCCGGTCAGTTCCGGCGGCTTCACAGTCGACAGGTACAGCACACTTTCCGATTTTACTCACAGCAGTGGCGGACTTGGGCGGCGTGTTTCATTCAGGCGGCCTGGCGGAGGTATTCTAAACGGAAGATTTTGGAGCAGCGGCGGAAGGAGGAAGAGGAAGCGGAATTGGCTGCGCGTAAAAATGGAGGTGGTGGTGGTGGTGGAAGTTCTTATAGCCTTGGAGCTACTTTTTTGGCGTCGAGATTTGCCGCTAATGCTCTTCGTGGAGTTCACCGGAATCGGAACCTGAAGAGTGCTCGGGAATTGATGAAGTTGCAGAAGCCTCCAGAACCGGATTTCACTGCAGACGCTGATTAGTTTGTTGCATCATGTGCTTGTACATTAACAAACTTATACGTATGCTTTTATGAGTTGTAAGGTACAACTTGCTAATGCATGTAGGATGTTATCTTATGTAAGGTCGAGGACATATTCAGTTAACTAACTTATTTTACTTTTTCTTACTGATGTTAGTTATTTTTTATATATGTTTATGTAACAAAGGTAATTTTTTTATTAAATTAAAGCTTTTGTTAGAATATATAATATATAATTACACAGATTGGTAAAACTTTATTCTAATTTATATTTTCATAAAAATATGTAAGTCTATTATATAGAAAAATCATGAACTTTTCAATTGATTTGGTTGTTACTAGCCAAAAATTAACGGGTTTTTTTTTTTTTTCAAAAATAGTTACAAATCGAAAGCCATTAACTTCACTCACGATTTGGGCTTCACCAACTAGGATTTGGCTTTGTCGGAGTAAAGTTGGGCTCATATTCTGATCATGGGCCGGAAACATAGAATAACCTAAATGTTAAAAATAACTCAAAATTTCATACGTTTTAAAATAAAGAAATCATCATTACTCTTTCTAATTGTTTAATAACATTATTCTTATGAAAACTTTGTAAGTTATCTACTTATTTAATGTTTTAATCATATTTTATTAGGTTTATACATTAAGGATAAGTTTATATATGATTTTTGGAATAAAAAAAAAATGTTAGAGCCATTGAACTTTGTGAACACCTCTAAGCTACCTAAGTGATATGTATCATGCACCCAGTTACAGTGGCAAAACCCAGGGGGTTCAGCAGTAGCATGTGCTACTCCTTGAATTTCTAGCACAACGTAAAAATTTTGAAAATTTTCCTGACAAGTAAATTTTTCGACGTTCTACCCCCAATCTGCCTAGTTATGTACAAGTAAAAATTGTATCCTGATGTATGCTTACCCCCCTGGTGAGTTCATGGTGGAAAAGAGGGGAGCATCCGGACAAATGTTGGTGTACTTTTCTTATCTTTAGCTCAAGGGTTTTATCCTATTAGGTTTATCTTGACAAAAACGACAGTCTTACCAATGAAAATCTGGACGAGTATCCAATTGAATGCTTCTTTAACAATTATGTACTCTTTTGTCCGTCTTTAAAAGTTTATCTCACTGGGTTTTCTTTTATCAATGTTTTAATGAGACACTTCATGTATGGTTATTTCCTTCGCTCAAAACATCCAAATCCTACTTTTTTATCCTTCAACTAGAGTTTTTGTACCAAATGGTTTTCTCTAACAAGATTTTTAACGAAATGAATCTTTGATGTATTATCTAGAAGATGCATGACGAATAAATACAAATATAACTCAATGTAAATCTAAGCATCCAAGTGGGAGTAACTTTAACTCATAGTGTAATTAGGAGTTGGTTTACCCGACCCTTGCTCAATATATATAGTGATTTTTATGTATTTCTAAATCTATTTGAAACACGTATACTATAAAACGAAAATGTTGAAATGAATAGCTTAGTTTCTAGATTTTTTTAAAAATAAAATAATATATTTTTTTCAATTATACTGTTAAATATGATTTTTAAGGTCTTGAGAATGGACCTCAAAAAAAAAAAAAAAAAGTTTGCGAAATGCGACATTATCTTTGAAGCAGAGAGAAACGCCGAATGATATGCTTAATGCTTTGCTTGTAACGTGCATCAATCTCATCGAATTATCGTTCTCTCATCTTCCACATTGACTCTTTCCTTCCTGCCTTCATATACACACTTCACTTGCTTAAATTTGAAAATGGCAGCTCCCATTAGACTAGCATCATGTTCCTCTCTTACTCTGCTTGCTTCAACTTCTTCGTCTTCCTTCATTTTCACCAAGTTTAGATCTATTCCGAATCTGCGCTTTTCATTTTCAGTCTCTACTGCTGCAATTTCTGTAAATCCCTTGTTCTGTTCTCGAAGAGCGACACGTATGGCTCATACAGTTGCCAAGGCGACTCTTGGCCTCACTCATCCTGCCGAAATCGAAGCCCCCAAGGTCCCACTCTCAAACTTGTTCTTTCTTTTGACTTATTAATGCACTTAAACTGTTCGACGAATTGCTTATCATTTTGTGTGCGTCTATCTGTCTAAGAAATTAACCAATAAGCATACACAATTACACACTATCCTAATTTCATAACCTTTACTGATTTCCTATCCTAATCTGATAATCTCTCTCTTTTCTGAAACACGAAAGATCTCTTTAGCTACAAAAGACATCGATTTGGTCGACTGGAAAGGAGACATTCTAGCAGTTGGTGTAACCGAAAAAGACATGATAAAAGACGAAAACTCAAAGTTCCAAAATCTTCTCCTGAAGAAGCTCGATTCCCAATTAGATGGATTATTATCTGAAGTATCAACCGAGGAAGACTTCACAGGAAGAGTAGGACAATCAACTGTTCTTAGACTTCCGGGTCTTGGTACCAAACGGGTCAGCTTAATTGGGCTTGGAAAACCCCCAATAACTTCATCTTCTTCCATTTCTGCTTATCGAAGTCTTGGTGAATCTGTCGCTTCATCTGCTAAAGCTTCTCAAGCTAACAATGTCGCTGTTGCTCTTGCTTCTTCACAAGACTTAACTCCTGAATTGAAGCTCACTACAGCTTCAGCAATTGCAACCGGTATATTGATATTCCATTCAAGAAATAACAACCTCCTTTATATTTTCTTTATATATCATCTTAATTTCATTTTTTTTTCTATTATAGGTGCATTGTTAGGGACATACGAAGATAACAGATTTAAATCCGAGTCGAAGAAACCTTCTCTCAAGTCAATTGACTTTCTTAACCTTGGAGGTGGACCCGAATTAGAAAAGAAACTCAAGTACACAGAGCATGTTTGCTCAGGGGTAATTTTGGGAAAAGAGCTTGTGAATGCACCTCCCAATGTACTTACCCCTGGTTCGTTATCCTCTCATTTTCAATTGTTGATGGAGACATAGAGTTAAAATGTGGTTTTTCATTTTTCTTTTTTAATGATTGTAACAGGGGTATTAGCGGAAGAGGCTGAAAAGATTGCTTCAACATATAGCGATGTTTTTAGTGCAAAAATTCTTGACACAGAGCAATGTAAAGAGTTGAAAATGGGTTCTTTTCTTGGTGTTGCTGCTGCTTCTGAAAACCCTCCTAAATTTATACATTTATGTTATAAACCTCCCACTGGATCCATTAAAACCAAACTTGCATTGGTGGGGAAGGGGTTGACTTTTGACAGGTTCATAATCATCATCATCATCATCATCATCATTGATTGATGAAATTAAATTTTAGAATTTATTTGTTGTTGTAGTGGTGGTTATAACATCAAGACTGGGCCTGGTTGTTTAATAGAGCTGATGAAGTTTGACATGGGCGGCTCTGCGGCGGTTTTAGGTGCTGCAAAAGCTCTTGCGCAAATTAAACCACCAGGGGTAGAGGTAAATTTATTTATTTAATTATTATTTTTAAATGTATATTTATATATTTTATATTGGTATTTCAGGTTCATTTTATTGTAGCAGCTTGTGAGAATATGATAAGTGGGACAGGTATGAGGCCTGGGGACATATTAACAGCTTCAAATGGGAAAACAATTGAGGTAAATTTTTTTCATTGGTTCCTTTGTTAGAGAGAAGGGTAATATGGTCATTTTTCAGGTTAACAACACGGATGCAGAAGGTAGACTTACCCTTGCTGATGCGCTAGTATATGCTTGTAACCAAGGTGTAGATAAGGTAAGGTATATATATATATTTCTTTCTATTTTATGGAAAAAGACGAAAATGCCCTCATGATCATTAATTTTTTGTGTAGATTGTTGATTTGGCGACACTGACTGGAGCATGTATAGTTGCTCTTGGGCCTTCAGTTGCAGGTAGTAATAATAGATAAAAGGGCAAATAAGTAATTTCAACTCGAAATTTATGAAAACAATCACATGGTGGTTTTTTTTGACTCTTTTTTTTTCAGGGATCTTTACACCGAATGATGAACTAGCGAAAGAGGTGGTTGCCGCCTCGGAAGTGGCCGGAGAAAAACTTTGGAGGTTGCCGATGGAGGAGAGTTACTGGGAGTCAATGAAATCAGGGGTGGCTGATATGGTGAACACTGGCGGCCGCCAGGGTGGCTCTATTACTGCCGCCCTTTTCTTGAAACAGTTTGTTGATGAAAAAGTGGAATGGTTGCATATTGACATGGCTGGACCTGTTTGGAATGATAAGAAGAAAGCAGCGACAGGTTTTGCTGTTCCTACTTTGGTCCAATGGGTTGTTGCCAACTCATCATCTTAAACTTCATGTCTTTTAATTTTTATTAGATAGATGGAAAAGTTTGTTGTTTTGATAAAAAGAAACTAAATGCTTCAACATGATTGAAAATTTGGACTTTCTTAGAAAAAAATTGAGAGATTATGAGATATTGTTCACCCAACTAAGAAGGCCCACACGCTACTCCACAAAATGGCTTTTGGGATGATATATGTATAGTGTCGGGCAAACTCAATAGATGTGGAAAACAAATCCCAGATTCATATTTACTTACGCGACTTATGTCACTAAAAAAATATGTCAAAACCATTAATATAAATATTCGCAAACCAATCATTATTTTGCAAAACTAAAATTTCGCAAAAGTGATCCATTTTCACATGCCGTATCAAGATGATATATGTGCTTTTCCTCAATCAAATACAATCTCAATTGAAAATATGGAAAAAGAACACAAAAATATACTCATTAATAAATTTAAATTTCATGAAACCCTTATTGATTCTTCAAAGAAAGAACACTCCAACATATATATATAATCATTTATAAAACTGTATTGTACCGATGTGAGATATACTAACATAAGATGAGTTCTGTTTGACTATTTTTCAATGTTGGAGCTGTGGTGAACACTGTTCAGAAAGCAACACCCCATGGTCGGATTCCAATGAACATTGCCCTCAGTAGGTACCAAGTGGCAGAGTCATTGGCGGCGGTCCCACCAAACCTAAGGATTGCGTCAATTCCTTCGGACACATTGTTTCACTCTAAAAACCGTTAAATAAAGCATTTTTTGGCATTTGCATAAACATAACGAAAATAATTGTATCTTATATCCAACCGGATTTGTCTCAATAACATAATAACATAACAAAGTATTATAAGTATCATGTGTTTGAGATTTTGATTAGGCTTATGATTAGAATTGTTTTTTTTGGATTATCCCAGGATCTTAATTCATGTAAC